TTGGTGCCCATGAGTCTGAAAAGAGTCATAACGCCATTTCTAAACAATTTTACAAAGAAAATATTATTCACCCGTGGAAAACAGTTAAGACAGAGCTGCCAGCCTGTCTTAAATTTACCCCAAAGTCAGACTTTGCAGTCCACGAGCTTCATTGGAGACTCTATGGGTTAGCATGCTAATCAGTTAGCATGCTAAATGTTCGTGACTGTATTTGTCTGGAAGGGTTCCCACGAGAAACCCTCATCTGTCTAAAAAGAGCAGGGCAGCGTGGTTTAGGTTTGCAAACGTGCAGCTGAAGAAACTAGAAGACTTCTGGAACAACGTCCTTTGGACAGGTGAGACTAAAATGGAGACGTTTGACCATAGTGCACAAAACCAAACACCCCATAGCAGCTTTTAGCACGGGAGGCTGTTGATTTGGGCACCTTGCAGTCATTGAGGTGATCATGAACTCCTCTTTATACCAAAGTGTTCCAGAGTCAACACATTGGTACAAAGAGGAGTTCATTGTCCTAATGAAACAGGGCAATGGTCCAAGCACAGCAGCAGCAAATCTCCAACAGAACAGCTGAAGAATCAAAGTGGTGCAATGACCCAGTTCAGACCTAAACCTGATGGGACCTTCAGACAGCGGTGCATGAACCAGTGCTGTAAAATTCAATGAACTGAAGCAACATTTTAAAGAAGAGTGGGCTAAAATTCCTCCACAGCAATGTGAGGGACTGACCAAGTTGTTGCTGCTAAAGGAGTCAAAAAGCTGCTGAATCATGTGAATCGTTGCGTCTTTGCTTTCGTTAGTTGTGACACGGTGTAATATTTCACATGCTGCTGTGCATCTGAGGTTGTATTTAATTCATTTACATTTTTTATGTCTGACATGGAAAACCTCCGACTTTAAAAAGGATACACTTTTGTTTTCACATAAAATCTACTTCCTTACGTCTCCAGGTCCGCGAGCTGGAGAACGAGCTTGAAGCCGAGCAAAAACGTTCCACCGAGGCCATCAAAGGAGTCCGAAAATATGAGAGGAAAATCAAAGAGTTAACCTATCAGGTAAAGTTAGCTGGTGTTTTTAGCAGTTAAGAAAACGAGAATGGATATTTGTCTTTTCTTGTCTCTCCTGTTTGTAAGAGATGTTCATCTTGTGCTTTCAGTCCGAGGAAGACAAGAAAAACAACATTCGGCTGCAGGATTTGGTGGACAAACTCCAGAGCAAGATGAAAGCCTACAAGCGACAAGCTGAAGAAGCTGTGAGTGAATCACTGTCGGCACAAATATATTCAGAGATACAGTGACGTGTCGGAGCGCCATCTCACTGAAAACAATTGTTCCCCAGGAGGAGCAGGCCAATGTGCACATGGCCAGATTCAGGAAGGTTCAGCATGAGCTGGAGGAGGCCGAGGAGAGAGCTGACATGGCCGAATCTCTGGCCAACAAGATGAGAGCCAAGAGCCGTGAAATAGGCTCGAAGGTACTGCGTTCGATGTAGACTGTAGCTACCAGTGTTTAGCTGCTCCTCTGAAAGAATAACAGGCATACACTCCCCACCATATTAGGTTTAGGGCAGAAATATGACAGAAGCAAGCTTTGTGTTTTCTTATAAATGGTTAAAAAATTCATTGTTTTTTGCATCAATTTGCTTGTTTTCCAGGCCCAGGAGGGACAGGGCGAGTAACAGAGTGCAC